GTGAGGCAAGGCAATGCAAGGCAAGGCAAGGCAAGGTAAGGCAAGGCCATTAAAGGCCAGGAAAGGCGAGGAGAGGTGAGGCAAGGAGAGGCAAGGGAAGGGAAGGAAAGAAAAGGCAAAGCAAGACCCAAACCTGACTCTGCTTAACTTTTGAGATCAGACAACATGGTGGTGGGTAAAACACACACTGTGTGTGTGCCAACATGTGTTGCCTGGCCTGGACTAGCCTAGCCTGGCCTTGCCTGGTCTTGCCTTGCATTGACCTAACTTGCCTAGCCTTTCCTGGCATGGCTTGGCCTGGCCTTTCTTTGCCTTGCATTGAATTGCCTTGCCATACCTTCCGTTGCTTGACTGTCCTGGCCTAGCCTGACCTTGCCCTGCTTGATGTGGTCTGTCCTGGCCTTGCAGGGCTTTTCTTGCCTTGCCTTGCCCTTCCTGGGCTGGCCTGGCCTTGACTTGCCTTGCTTTGCCTTGCCTTGCCTTACCTTGCCTTACCATGCCTGGCCTTGCCTGGCATTGCCTTGCCTTGCCTTGCCTTGCACTGCCTTACCTTGCCTTGCCTTGCCTTGCCTTCCCTTGCCTTGCCTTCCATTGCCATGCCTTGCCTTGCCTTTTCTTTCCTTCCCTTGCCTTGCCTCGCCTCACCTTACCTCTTCTCGCCTTTCCTGACCTTTAATGGCCTTGCCTTGCCTTCCCTTGCCTTGCCTTGCATTGCCTTGCCTCCCTTTGCCTCATCATGCCTTTCCTTTCCTTTCCTTTCCTTTCCTTTCCTTTCCTTTCCTTTCCTTTCCTTTCCTTTCCTTTCCTTTCCTTTCCTTTCCTTTCCTTTCCTTTCCTTTCCTTTCCTTTCCTTTCCTTTCCTTTCCTTTCCTCTTCCCTTCCCTTCCCTTCCCTTCCCTTCCCTTCCCTTCCCTTCCCTTCCCTTCCCTTCCCTTCCCTCTCCTTCCCTTCCCTCTCCTTCCCTATCTTTTCCTTGCCTCGCCTTGCCTTGCCTTGCCTTGCTTTGCCTTGCCTTGCCTTCCCTTGCCTTCCCTTGCCTTGCCTTCCCTTGCCTTGTCTTCCCTTGCCTTCCCTCACTATGTCTTTATTTCTGTTGCCCTGGCTTTGCCTCGCCTCACCTCAGCTCACCATGAATTTCTTTCCCTTGCCTTGCCATGCCTTGCCTTCCATTGCCTCGCATCGCCTCGCCATGCTATTCCTTCCTTTGCCATGCCTTGCCTTTCCTTGCCTTGACTTGTCTTGCCATGTCTTCCCTTCCCTTCCCTTGCCATGCCTTGCCTTGCCTTGCCTAGCCTTGCCATGCCTTGCCTTGCCTGGCTTGGCCTGGCCTGTCCTTCCCTTGCCTTGCCTTGACTTGCCTGGCCTAGCCTGGCCTGGACATGCCTTGCCTTGCCTAGCATTGCCTTGCCTGGCCTTGCATTGCCTTGCCTTTCCTTGCATTTCCTTGCCTTGCCTGGCCTGGCCTGGCCTGTCATGGTCTTGCCTGTCCTTGCCTTGCCTTGCCTTGCCTTACCTTACCTTGAGTTGCCTTCCCTTGAGTTGCCTTGCCTTGTCTTGCCTTGCCATTTCTTGCCTTGCCTTGCCTTGCCTTCCCTAGCCTTGCATTGCCTTCCCTTGCTTTGCCTTCCTTTGTCTTGCATTGCCTTGCCTTGCCTGGCCTTGCTTGACACAGATCTCTTGCTGTGTCATGTGCACTTGCCACTTACTGAGGAAAGTATCCATGGGCTGGGAAAGGAAACAGCACAGGAGGGAATTTTTAGCTAATTGTAGCTCTTCCTGGTAAAACCTGTAGGGCTTTAGCATCTTGTTCAATATTTTCCATGGTCACTGGAATGGGTTTCATTGTTAAAAAAAGTATTTCATTTTCTACTTCCCTGTGTTCCATGAGAAACAGCAACAAGGGCCTCCCCTTGTGCCACAGCTTGTGACACTGTGCAAGACATGACGAGAAAAACAGCTGGGCTGGTACTTGTGGAGAAGCCTGTGGCCTGTAGAGCTTCATCAGGGACAAGGACAGGTTTCTGTGTAAGCACTGACTCAGTTCAGCCCAGCTGTGCTGTACTGAAGAGCAGCACCCCTCGCTGCCCTGTGCGGAGTCGGGGCTGGGGTGTGTGCTCCCCACCCCTTCTCTCCTGCCTCCTTTCTCTGCAGTGAAACAGAAACTGTGTTCTCTGAAGAAATTCTTTCCGGTGAGGGTGGTGAGACACTGGAACGTGTTTCCCAGAGAAGTCCCCCATGCCTGTTCTGAAACTGTTTAGGGTTGCTGAAAGAATCACTTCCACAGATACCAGCAGAAGTGATTTTAATGTGAATTTCTAAAAGCAGGATTCCTCAGGATTTGGTGGTGAGGCCCCACTCCACCATCTACAAAAAGAGATTGTGTCAGACCTGGCAAGGATTTATCCAGGACTGGATTCAAGTGATTTATACAGCATTGAACTGAAATCATGTGTATAGAAACTGCAAACAGAAAGGAATAAGGGAGACCCTCTTGTTGAGTCACGAGGTTCAGACTGGATCTCTTTGCTTTCTAAGCTCCCTCTCCGAGAGCAGTCTGCGTGCAGCTGGATTCCATCTTAGTCTCAGGCCTGGTATTCATGTAAAGGATCACAAATACCAGCTAGCAGCAGTTTGCATTTGTAAACTCAATCACAGGATTTCTAACAGCACTTGATCACTGAAGCTAGTATACACGCACTTGCAATTAAATATCCAACCTGACACAACCCACTGAGATGGAGCTAGATGGCTGTGCACAGATCTAGATGCATCCCTATGCTGAAGCTGCCCTTGGTGCAGTGAAAAGTAAAAGCAGAGCACAATACTCACAGCAGCTCTGGAAGCACTCCTCAGTGGGCGAAGGGCTGAGTGTCAGTGAGCAGCAGGATCGGCCCAGCTAGATGGTCCCCCTATTAGCTAAACTGGAGAGTTTAGGGGGCTCTCAGAGATGCCTCACTATGAGGGAGATGCTGCCCACAGCACACTGCGGTCCAGGAGAGGGTTAGGGTTAGGGGTTAGAGCTCAAAAAATCTCTCTCTTGGGACTAAAAGTTCTAGGGTCGTCAGAGAGGTGTGCTCGCTTCTTGCCGCTGTGCCAACAAACATAGTAGTACTGAATTCCAGTTATAAATTGAGGGCAATGTTTGGTTGCTTTACTCAGTTGTTAAGAATTTCTTAAATGTGTTTAAGTACGATTATATACATGGACAAGTTTCTGCATCAACATAACTTGTTCAGCTGATTTCTATGCTGTAATGTATAGCAGAATGTTTAACAACAAACAGAATAGGATATAAATTAGTGAAATTAAGGTAGGATGTAAAATTCAGCTTTAAAGCCTCAGTTGCTGGGGTATCCTACCAGAGGTGTTCTCATGCTCAGTGTGTGGACTTCCCAGAGATAAGTTAATGGTTGGATTTGATGTTCTCAAAGGGCCATTTTCAAATTAGTTGATTGATTGTAAGAAACGAAGATTTTTAGCCTTAAATCTTTGTATCATCAGAGAACTGGCACTGCAGGAAGGCAGTGTGCCTCCCAGCTGAGGGAGGGAAGATTAGTGATTGCTACAGGCTGTTTCCCATGGTGTTTCCCTGGAGCCCCAGGGAGCCCTGGAAGGAGCCCAGTGGGGCAGAGGCAGAGCCACCTTGGGCTGGGCCTCTGCTGCTAAGCTGGGACCGAGGGGAGACCTGTGAGACACAGGGAGCTTAAAGGCACTTGGCAGTGGAGGATGCTGAGGAGGAGGAGGAGGAACCTTCTGAAGGAGAAACCTTCCCAGCCCTGTTTGTGGTAAGGCACTGGGTGCAGGGCAATGCAGCTGCAGTCTCTCTCTGTGTAGATAAGGAGGAGGATGTGCTGCAGAGCAGGGCTTCCCCCTGCACCATGCAGGGACAGGACAAGGCAGGTCCCTTGTCCCGGGGCTGGCTGCAGGGTGTGAATGTGGGTGTGCAGCCAGGGGTCCCCAGCGCTGCCCTTGCAGCAGGGTCCCTGCAGCCCAAAGGCTTTGTGCAGGGGCAGGGACTCTGCTGCCTGCCAGGGTCAGCACTCGGCCTGCCCGGGAGCTCCCCATAGAGCTCGGGGGGAGCTGTGGGGAAAGGAGAAACCCCTGACAGGGAAGGGAAGTGCTGGGTGGGTGACGCTGCTCCAATCTGCCGTCACTCTGAGCACTTCTTCAGAGGGTCCCTCTGAAAGACACTGAGGCATCATTTACCTGATAGGGAAGGATCCTGAGCTTTGATGGTTTTCCCTCTTGGTGGGCAGGTTGGGCAGTGGGAGCTGGGAATTTACTTCTCTGCTTTGGGGGAGGCACCGAGAGTCTTGTGAGGGGTTGTGTGAGCTGCTCCTGAGCCCCTGCACAGGCAGGGGTGTGCAGGGCAGAGCTGAGCACACAGCCCATGGCATGGGCTCTGGGAGCACTGAGAGGGAGCAGAGGTGGGCACAGAGCAGCAGCTCCTGGCAGGGACAACTCCAGGCAGCAGAGATATGGATGGGCAGGGAGTGGGGGGAAAGTGCAGCCCAGCCCTGGGGAGGGTGCGTTCAGGCAGCTCTCTTGGGGTCTGGCACTGGAGGTGGCTGCTGGCCGTACTCTGCTGCCCACAGACCTTTGCTTCTCCCCGTGAGAGCTCTGTGGACTGTCCTTTGAAATCGTTCTCCTCTGGTCTCAGCACAGGACACATGTTTGTGGGAGTTCTTAAGATCAATTTGTGTGTGAAGGCACCTTACAGGCAGTGCAAGCTTGAGCACAGGGCAAGTGGGAGAGGACTGATGGAAACTGCAGCTCTCTTGGCTCTGCAAAGAACGGAGACTTTTTGCCTGATGCAATTCTCTTCTGATTGTACCTAGGAAGAAGCCTCAGCAGTGTAATGACATCACTGGCGATGACACAGAACCTCTCCTCTCCTGCTAAAATGTGCTCTGTTGTGAATGTGTAAACTGAACTTCTGTATCTGACATCCCTCCTGTCCTAACCTGTCACTGCCTTTTTCTCCTCTGACGGTGCCCCATGCCCAGAGGCAGCAGATGTCCAACGGCAGCTCCATCACCCAGTTCCTCCTCCTGCCATTCGCACACACGCGGGAGCTGCAGCTCTGCCACTTCTGGCTCTTCCTGGGCATCTCCCTGGCTGCGCTCCTGGGCAACGGCCTCATCATCACCAGCACAGCCTGCGACCAGCGCCTCCACACCCCCATGTACTTCTTCCTCCTCAACCTCTCCCTGCTGGACCTGGGCTGCATCTCCACCACTGTCCCCAAATCCATGGCCAATTCCCTCTGGGACACCAGGGCCATCTCCTACACAGGTTGTGTTGCACAGCTCTTTTTCTTTCTTTTATTCATTTCAGCAGAGTATTTTCTCCTCACTGCCATGTCCTACGACCACTACGTGGCCATCTACAAACCCCTGCACTATGAGACCCTCCTGGGCCGCAGAGCTTGTGTCCACATGGCAGCAGCTGCCTGGGGCAGTGGCTTTCTCAGTGCCCTTCTGCACACAGCCAAGACATTTTCACTGCCCCTGTGCCGAGGCAATGCTGTGGAGCAGTTCTTCTGTGAAATCCCCCAGATCCTCAAGCTCTCCTGCTCACGCTCCTACCTCAGGGAAGTTGGGCTTCTTGTGGTTGCCTCCCTGATTGCTGTTGTCTGTTTTGTTTTCATTGTGGGGTCCTATGTGCAGATCTTCAGGGCCGTGCTGAGGATGCCCTCTGAGCAGGGACGCCACAAAGCCTTTTCCACGTGCCTCCCTCACCTGGCCGTGCTTTCCCTGCTTCTCAGCACTGGCACATTTGCCTGCCTGAAGCCCCCATCCATCTCCTCCCCATCCCTGGATCTGGTGGTGTCAGTGCTGTACTCGGTGGTGCCTCCAGCAGTGAACCCCCTCATCTACAGCCTGAGGAACCAGGAGCTCAAGGATGCTGTGAGGAAGCTGGTGACCAGATGTGTTTCAGCAGATATACGCTGCTTGCTTTAGCCTTGAAAGGGCTTCCAGTGTAGGTCATGACAGGCCATGTCTGTCTTTCCTGCTTTACATTTGTTTTCCTATTTCAATTTGTGATGATGTTGTCTTCATAGAAATGTCAGTTTTCATCTCCTCCTAATTAAGTTGCCACTCGTGTTGTGTGACCCACAGATTTTGTGTCACTCTGGTCTCTGACTGTATTTAAGGGAAATAAATGATCCTGCAGCAACTTCTTCTCTGTGATATGTCCTCACATGGCAGGAATGAAGGGGAATGAAAGCAGCTTTCTGGCTGCTCCAGCTCTGGGATGGCAGCTCTGTGCCTGCAGCAGGAAGAGCTCTTGGGAGCCCAAGGCCTGGGGCTGTTGTGCTGGAGTGGGGAGATGGGATGGCATGGGGGGGCTGCAGAGCTCTCAGGGAGTCCTGGGCAGGGGAGCTGGGGACACAGGGGTCCCTGCAGGGAACTGCCCTGCAATGGCACAGGCTGGGGCTGCCTGGCTGAGAACAGCCCATGGGAAAGGTCTGGGTGGGCAGGAGCTGGACAGGAGGCAGCGTGTGCCCTGGCAGCAAGGGAGGACAGCAGCATCACGGGCTGTATGAGCAGGAGCACGGCAGGAGAACAAGGGAAGGGATGATCTGGAATCCTCCATCCAGGTTTCAGATCTCCAGTTCAGGAATGCTATTGGCAAGCAGGAGGGGGTTTAGCAACAGGCCCTCAGGACAGGCAGGGACTGGATCATGGTGCCTGTGGAGAGAGGCTGGGGGAGCTGGGCTTGTCCATCCTGGAGAAGGGAAGGCTGATGGGGACCTGAGATCTTAGGAAGGGAAGGCTGATGGGGACTGGCTGCCTGTAGCGGCAAGGAGGACATGGAGAATACAGAGCAAGGCTCCTCACCATGGTGCCTGGTGGGAGGACAAAAGGCAGTGGGGGACAGTGACAGAGGAGAGGTTCAGCCCGGACAGAAGGAAACCTTGTTCCCATTGGCTCAGGCAAGTGCTGCATCAGGTCACCCAGAGAGGCTGTACAGTTTCTGGCCTTGGGAATTTCCAACTCAGCCTGAATCAAGCCTTGAACCACTTGCTCTGACCCTGTTCCTGGTGGGTTCAACTTGAGACCTCCTGGGGTCCCTTCCAACCTCTGTTCACTTCTGATCCTACAATGACGGGCTTATGAAGAGTCACAAAGATGCTCTAAGGGCTTTAGCACATCTCCAACGGAAACAGGCTGAGAGATGTTGGTCTTCAGCCTGGAGAAGAGAAGGTTCCAGGGAGACATCTTAGCAATCTTCCCGTGTCTAAGCAGGGCCTACAAAGAATCTGGAGAGGGGCTTTTTATGAGACTGTGCAGTGACAGGACAAGGGGGAATGGCTTTAAGCTGAAAAAAGTGAGATTCAGCTTGGACATTCAGATGAAGTTGTTCCCTTTGAGAGTGGTGGGACACTGGCACAGGGTGCCCGGAGAAGCTGTGTCTGCCCCATCCCTGGCAGTGTTCAAGGCCAAGTTGGATGGGAGTCAGCTTTGCTCTGAAGCAGTGCTTTGTCCAACTCTGATGTTCACAAGGGATGACAGATGAAATCCAACTTCATTGTAAAGTTCACTACTTGCACTCATGACTCGAGTGAGTCTGGGCTTCACAAGAGAGGCTCAGCATGGCCTTAGAGTCATTTGGACTGTGTTATTTATTTACTGGCATAACACTGCTGAGGTGTTTTGTTTTGGTTTTTTTTTTAGGGGGGGGAGGAGGCTATAAAACATTCTTTGTATGACAGAAAATGAGAACAATATTGAAACAGGGAGAAGCGCCCAGCTCCTTGTAGCTTAGTGTAGAGCGAGGAGGGCTGCAGTGTCCATCAGTCCTTTCCCATTTGCCCTCTGCTTACAACACATGTGTATGATGCCTTCACACACAAATTGATCTTAAGAACCCCCACAAACACCTGTCCTGTGCTGAAAGCAGGGGAGAACGGTTTCAAAGGACAGTCCACAGAGCTCTCACGCTGAGAAGCAAAGAGCTGTGGGCAGCAGAGCGCAGCCAGCAGTCACCTCCAGTGGCAGACCCCAAGAGAGCTGCCTGAACGCACCCTCCCCAGGCCTGGGCTGCACTTTCCCCCCACTCCCTGCCCATGTCTCTGCTGCCTGGAGCTGTCCCTGCCAGGAGCTGCTGCTCTGTGCCCAGCTCTGCTCCCTCTCCGTGCTCCCAGAGCCCATGCCATGGGCTGTGTGCTCAGCTCTGCCCTGCACACCCCTCCCGGCAGCACGGCTCTACCCAGGGGCATCTCTGCCTCTGCAGGAACCTCACCCCTGGCACTCAATGCATCCATCAACGGTGAATGGAGAAACATGGTCACTCCCTGAGGAAAGCCTTGAGAGCTTCTTAACTCTTCAGTTAGTTACTGGTGGCAATGAGCAGTGTGTAGGGAGGTGAGAGAGGGTGGAGGGAAGTCAGCAAGGAGCAAGGTGATGGTTCAGGGCTTTAACAAATGCTTACAAGCAGGATGGAGCCCAGCAATGGGGAGCAGTTGGTGTCTGTAGGTGGAGGAGGAGTAGGTGTTCCTGGAGTGTGGCTGCAGGCCCTGGACAAACCAGAGGCTACCTGAGAACTTTCCCTCATGGGAATATGCCTCAGCGTGGCACATGGGGAATGCCCACCGCTGGGGGTGCCTGAACGCTGCTCATCATGGCCCATGAGCCCACCTTCCTGTCTCCCTCTCCTGCCCTACCCAAACTTGCCTGGAATTCAGCATCCATCCCTGAGCCTGGGGAATGCAGGAACCTCCTGCAGTGAGGTGTCGCTGCTGCAGGGGAGGTGCAAAGCTTCTGTGAGACACTTGTGAGTGCAGGCAGAGAGCGGGGTGTGTGCAGCAGAGAGGGTTCTCAATCCAGGCCATTGTCTTTTCCCACTGCTCTCCCATGGTGCTTAGTTCTCTATACTGATGACCTGACCCATTCTTCTATAAGTCCCCTTTAGATCAGCTTGCTGAGGGATATTCACTCCACCTGCTGAATTGACACTGTAGTAGCAGCCTACAACTAGGTGAAATGTGGCTTCAGAGATGATGGAGGTTTTCTTGCTAGCAGGAAGAGAAGGAAATGTCTGCAAAGTGCAGCTTGGAAGGTTCAGACTCAAAGTTAGGAAAGAGAAATGTCTCTCAAAAGGTGGACTTGTGGTGTAAGAGGTCACCCAGACCCAGTCTGGCTCAGCCCATGGCTTTGTGTTTCAAGGAACAGACAGCCATGGGTGCAGAGATGGGACTGAAGGTACAGAAATGCCAGGTGAGAGCTAGGTGGGAAAGCAAGATGGGGGTCAACAGCCTGAAGGGAAAGAGGTGCAGGCATGGGCCAGTGTAGGACAGCCTGCAGCAGAGATGACAGGGTTCTGGCATGACTGAAAGGCCCAAAATAACAAAAGGCCTCTGTGCCCTGGGCTATGGCAGTTGCCTCTTTCAACAAGGCCTATGAAGAGAACTTTCATTCTCAGGATTTCAGGCTCTGCTTCTCCAAGGGCTGTGGTCAGGGCTTGGCCTTTCTGCATCATCAAACAAACCAAGGGTTTTCTCACCATCAGACACCTGCACTTTGCCTTTCTCTCCCTGTAATCACAGCCTGCAGTTACTTGCTTTAACGAGTCCCTGGGGAGGCTTTGTCAGCAACAGCCCTCAGTGGGGCCCATGAATGCTGAAGGGACCTGGGGCTTTGTTTCTGAGTTGGACTTCTTGAGAGGTTTCCTCAGTCTCCTCTCAGCACCTGAGGTTCACGGACTCAGCCCAAATACACCATGGGACTCATTAAACCCTGATGAGCCATGTCTCAGCATGTAGTTTTTGTCAAGTCTTCTAGATTGTCTTCCAGGGAACTGGGGAAGTTTCTGGGTGCAGGAAGATTACAAAGGGCATCTGATAGAAGTTATTTGAAAGGGTTATTTGAAAGGAAAATCTATGAAAGATGAGAGGAATGAAGGACGCGGTGTAACAGGCAGGACAGTGGCAGTGCAGTTGCAGGGGAAGATCGGCATTCCTTTGGGATCCCCCTTGTGAAAGGTCATTGGATTGGCACAGGTCTCTTGGGAGGGAGGACAAGGACACGTTGCGCTTACCTTTGATAAAGGTGCCAAGGGCAACCCAGGGGAACCCAGGCTGCACAAGCTGCCTTTGGTGAGGCGTGTGCCAGCATCAGAGTCCTCTTGGGTGACACCTCTGGGCACCTAAAAGCCGTCCGAAGGGTAACTGCTGCCTGGCCAAGCTGAGAGCCTGCAGTTGTGCGTGAGGAGGCAAAGAGTGAATGTGGTTTCCCTCAGCTTCAGCACAGCTCTTGGCACGGTCTCCCTCAAGGCTGCTGTACCCAAGGGGTACACCACAGACATAACAATCCTCCTGTCCTTCTACTTATCAATTAGTTTAACTGCAGCCCATCCTGGACACCTGCCATTCCCAGATACCCCTTATCTCTGTGTCCTGTTCTTCTAGCCTGTTTTTCTTAACTCATTTTGTACTAAGGTCATAAGGGCCTAAAACTACGTCAGCTGTAATGGTTTATCTTACACGAGAAAGAATTCTCAGCCTGTTCCCTAGCCGCGCTCTGTTTTTTTTCTGTGTGTCATGCACCTCAGTAATTTTCCATTGCTACTGTTACAAAGCCATCAAACAACATTACTTAAAACTGATTCTAAAGGTATATATATTTCATTTTGTAATGTTTTGCCCCCCCCCCTTGTCTCAAATTCCCCCTTTTTCTGTCCTTTTGCAAATTCTTTTGCAACATTTTTTATATTACCATTACCGTCTAAAGACTTTTTGAAATAATTTCCCGTTTCTACCTGGTGCTTAATTTCGTTCCTTTGCCAATCTTCATAATTTATCATAGACCATTTACAAGACCAGAGGGAACGTTGTATCATACCACAAGTAATCAATATTAAAACAAATAACATCAATATTCCTGCAACAGGTTGCCTCAACCAGGAGAGGTTCAGGTAACCATGAAGTTAATTTTTTCCATATTTCTTCAAAACCCCA